TGAGTCTCTCTCTGGTGTCTCTCTGGTCTCTCTTGGGTCTCTCTCTGGTCCCTCTCTGGTCTCTCTTGGGTCTCTCTCTGGTCTCTCTCTGGTCCCTCTCTGGTCTCTCTCTGGTGAAGTCTTCTCTGGCCCTCAGGTACGTGGCAGTCTGCCAGCCGCTGAGGTACCACTCCATCATGACCTCGGCTCGGCTCTTCTGGCTCTGTTTCTGGTCTTGGGTCTCGGCTCTGATCTTAGTCGGGATCCTGTTTGCATTTCACATTGGGACCAGGTTTTGTGGAACTCTGATCCAGCACGTGTACTGCAGTAACCGTGGGTTACTCTCGCTGTCCTGCGAGCCCTCGCCCGCCAACAACTACTATGGTCAGTGGTCAGATATCCATGAATCAAATCAACGCATTAAACGTGTTCCACGTCACACACAACAGATTCAGATTCATTTATTTGCCATTTGCAGTAAAACCACATTGGAAAAACTGTGCAAGACTACCCCAGTGTGCACCAGTGCAACATCAACGTGTCTGATTTCACCACATAAAGATAGATAAGATGTTAAAGAAACACACATTATTAAAGTATTTCATATGAAGAAGATTAGCTATCATTAGGTAGAAGACTGCTCACGGACACAGAGACGGGTTCATCTGCGGATCACTGAAAAGAACTAAATAAAGCCAATGCATTATAACTACATCCATGCATGGATCTATAATAATAACATGCACCGTGTCTAAAGCGCCTCAGTGAACGTCACATCCTGCGGCCGCTTCACAAGCGAACGTCACCACCTACGGCTCCAAGACACGCTTTTAAAAAACCTCTAAATTACTTGCACAAAATCTTGGGTAAGGGAACAAATTTAGGGCTAGGGTCGGAATTGGGACTGAATACTTCTTCTACAGCCGCTGCTACTAGTGCTGCTACTGCTAATATCAATACTACTACGGCAGGTTTGAGGTGGTGTGCTAACCTCAGTGTGTATGTTTGCTTCAGGTCTGGCTATGACGTACCTGGTAAGCACCACCGTGTTCCTGATCACGGCGTTCTCGTACACCCGGATCCTGATGGCGGCGGTCTGGACCCGGCACAGACCGGGTCGGAGCGGTCTAGACGCGGCTCAGACCCGGTCTAAAGCGATACAGACCTGCTGCTCTCACCTGGTGGTGTACGTGGTGTACAATGTGGCCTCCGTCATCATCATCATCTCATACCGCCTACCGCCGTTCGCCGTCACCCCCAACGTGAAGAAGCTCTTCACCGCACTCGCCATCATTCTCCCGCCCGCCCTCAACCCGATCATCTACGGCCTGGTGAGCCGCGAGCTGCGTGCCGCGCTCTACCGCCAGCTGCGTCGTGCTGTGCCGAGCCGAGGGAGGCGCACAGTGCCCAAGAGACACTGACCCCCCACACCCCACGCATCATTTGAGCAGTAGACTTGCGCAGCGGTGTGCGTAGGACGCCACGAGACGAATTTCAGATGCATGTCCCTTTGTAGAGACACACACAGAAACGCACACAGAGACGCACACAGAGGCGCACACAGAGGCGCATACGGAGACGCACACGGAGGCGCACACGGAGGCGCACACGGAGACGCACACGGAGGCGCACACAGAGGCGCACACGGAGACGCACACAAAGGCGCACACAGAGGCGCACACGGAGACGCACACGGAGACGCACACGGAGACGCACACGGAGGCGCACACGGAGGCGCACACGGAGACGCACACGGAGACGCGCACGGAGACGCGCACAGAGACGCGCACAGAGACGCACACAGAGACGCACACAGAGACGCACACAGAGACGCACACAGAGACGCACACAGAGACGCACACAGAGACGCACACAGAGGCGCACACAGAGACGTACACAGAGGCGCACACAGAGACGCACACAGAGGCGCACACAGAGACGCACACAGAGACGCACACAGAGACGCACACAGAGGCGCACACAGAGACGCACACAGAGACGCACACAGAGACGCACACAGAGACGCACACAGAGACGCACACAGAGACGCACACAGAAACACGTCCAAAATAGGAGCCTTGCATATTTTTTCTTTCACAGCGACGCAGCTTTATAACACCCGCCTCATTTTGGCTTGTGCACAAAAGTTGGGCATACCCAAATGTCTTTGCTTATTTAAAAACACATCTTACATCTCACATGCTTGTGTGATGCATCATTTTAAAGCTAGAGCCTTCTAGTTTATGTAAAAAAAACACTAAAATAATGTTTGTCATTCCTATTTTCCTCTGCATCCTTTGAAGTTTGGGGAAAAAACCCAATTTTTTTAGCCTCGCCTAACATTTTCAATTTCTAAAGGCCCTAAAAAAGGCATACTTCATTGTAAGTTCACAATATTCAAACCCTGTGGTCATTGTGTTGTTGACAACAAATGTCTAAAGTTTCAGACTTCTAAGTTTTATAGTTTTTATGCAGTTTCTCCTTTTCATCAAGTAGTGCACATTTGGCACAATTTGGCCAAATTGTGCCAAATATCTTTACTTACATTTAATTATTATAAAAACAATATTTTTTATTATTGGTACTTATAAGTTACTAATCTATGTGTGTTTTTTTTTAAATGTCAAAGTTATTTTTTTGTGAGTGTAAATTCATTGCAGCTTCGAGAGCGTCTTTTGGCTGCCATTACGCACAATTCTACAGGCACAACATAAGACAGGACACCATTGTCCCACCCCTTGATCGAAAGCTTTCCTCATTGGCTACACGGACATGTCATTCATTCGGCTCTACCACGTCCCCCTCCCTGCCCTGCTAACAACAAACAGAAAGTGGCCGTGCGTAAAAGGGAGTCGCTTGTTTTATTCACAGAGACGTAGCAAACGAAATCAAGCACCTATCTCTTCGGGGATAGTCTCATTGTGTAGCTAACAAGGTGAGGAACACAAGCATACCCTCTTTGTGGGGGAAAGGCAAAGCTGCATTTCCGCAAACAGTGAAAAGGAGCGTCCGTGCTGTTTCAATTTTTTTTTCTCGCTAAAAATAAATGCTCGTTTTTGGATGATTTCTGCACAATGGATTATACTTTGGGAAACACAAGTGGATTTCCGTTTTCCATGGACAGTAATGGAGAGAATAAGCCATAGCAAGCTGGGAGGAGAGCCGATTTATTTATGTAGTACACGGAAAATGGTAAGAAACTTTTTCGGAGCTGATTCATTTTGTTCCCATATTATGTTTTATATCTTTTGAATGCAATGTCTGATATTGCTGACACTTGTATATAATTGTAAATACGAAAATAAGCTTTAAAATGACATACAGCTTTTGGGGTTTGGTGTTCAAAATGCATCTGTTATTGCTGGTTGAACATTTTAAAAACAAAAACGGCACGCCGGCGCACCGGTTGCTGTAAAGAGGGTAAACATGTTTCCCATGTAAACATGGGAAACATGTTTGTGCTGATGATAATTTCTAGATAATTATTTTATAAAGTCAGAAATCAGAAGATTTACGAGCGGCTGTCCGCGGAAAACAAGGAGAGTTTCCGCGAGTTGGTCAGAGTCGTGGTCGAGGGCACAGTGGGGACACAACGGGGTGTGAGTCGGATCGAACATTCCCTTAACGACCTGGGAGTGAGATCTTTGGATGGACTTAAATGCTTGGAAGGATTGATTGAAGGACTAGGGCCTCACGGTGGAACCTCGTACTGACGTGGTCAACTCCGGATAACGGTGAACGGAGGGTCCAGTTCCAGTATAATTTGGACATATTGGCTTTAGTTTACACTGCCTTTGATCAGCTAAAAGTGCTTATTCAAATTTCCCACAAGGGCATGTGTTGTTTTGTCTCCAATGTTTGCAGGCACCTGCGCTATCTTTGTCCTTCACATTCCACCACCACACACGGCCACTCAAGGCTGACACTGGACTCTTATCTATCTCAGACTCACAACCCAGAACACCAGTTACAGTCCCCCCCCCTACATGTCTGCCTCTCTCTTTTTCAGTCTATGGTGGTCTTCCCCTCCACCTCCCCCACCCACACTCCCCTCTGACGCGCTATATTGGACGAGGCGGGCCAGAGTGATGACTTCCCATTAAAAAGATCCGCATGTTTTTCCACATGTACCGTGTCTCTCCCCATATTTGTTGAAATATATGTCTGTTTTGCTCTATGCTGTTGAATAACTGTTATTCTACTGTTTGTCGCATGGCGCCGTAAAGATGGCGCCGTGGCAAGAGCTCTGGTGTGTGTCGTCTTCTGGTGCACACCGGGTAGTCTTGCACAGTTTTCCAATGTGGTTTTACTGCAAATGGCAAATAAATGAATCTGAATCTGAATCTGAATCTGAAGTCTGAGCCGCCGCTTCAAAGTGGGGGCGGGTCCCGGCTCAAAAAGGTCCATGTGCGCTAACATGCAGTACCACCCCGGGCCAGTGGGGTTGGACCCAGAAAGAGAATCATTCAGTGCTTTTATATGGCGTCTTCATTCCTCTCAAAAACCTCTCAGGATAGGATTGGTCCAAAAGTCGCTCTTGCCCCAAAGCTACGTTCCGGATGCTGTCAATGCTGATGGGAGTGTATATTTTTGGACCAGTCTTGTTTAGCCGCTATGGACTTTTGAATGCACTCGTTAAATGAATGGGGCCCGTGCAGCTGACGCATGCGCAAATGCATTTTTCAACATATTCCAACATTTTGAAACTGCCTACAGACGGCAAAATTTCAACGCCGGAGACAGGCGTGACTATGTCTGTTAATATTTACAGTCTATGGTCCACATGCTGCATGGCGCTGCTGTCACTGTGCTTGCGGTGTATAGGGGCCGTGAGAGAGCGCCATCTAGAGGTATAGCCAACCAGCCTCACAACCGCAGACCTCGTGTCACCACACCAGCCCAGGACCTCCACATCCAGCAGGTTCACCTCCAAGATCGTCTGAGACCAGCCACTGAGACAGCTGCTGAAACAGTTGGTTTGCCTAACCAAACAATTTCTGCACAAACTGTAAGAAACCGTCTCAGGGAAGCTCAACTTCATGCTCATCGTCCTCATCGGGGCCCTGACCTGACTCCAGCTCATCGTCCTCATCGGGGCCCTGACCTGACTCCAGCTCATCGTCCTCATCGGGGCCCTGACCTGACTCCAGCTCATCGTCCTCATCGGGGCCCTGACCTGACTCCAGCTCATCGTCCTCATCGGGGCCTTGACCTGACTCCAGCTCATCGTCCTCATCGGGGCCTTGACCTGACTCCAGCTCATCGTCCTCATCGGGGCCTTGACCTGGCGCCAGCTCATCGTCCTCATCGGGGCCTTGACCTGACTCCAGCTCATCGTCCTCATCGGGGCCCTGACCTGACACCAGCTCATCGTCCTCATCGAGGCCTTGACCTGACTCCAGCTCGTCGCCGTAACAGACTTGAGTGGACAAATGCTCACATTCGATGGCGTCTGGCACGTTGGAGAGGTGTTCTCTTCACGGATGAATCTGGGTTTGCAGTGTTCAGGGCAGATGGCCGACAGAGTGTGTGGCGTCGTGTGGGCGAGCGCTTTGCTGATGTCAATGTTGTGGATGGTATGGCCCGTGGTGGTGGTGGGGTTATGGTATGGCCCGTGGTGGTGGTGGGGTTATGGTATGGCCCGTGGTGGTGGTGGGGTTATGGTATGGCCTGTGGTGGTGGTGGGGTTATGGTATGGCCTGTGGTGGTGGTGGGGTTATGGTATGGCCCGTGGTGGTGGTGGGGTTATGGTATGGCCCGTGGTGGTGGTGGGGTTATGGTATGGCCTCATGTTTCAGCCAGCAAACTCACTGCACATTTCATCCATTGAGCATGTTTGGGATGTGCTTGAGCGGCGTATACAACAGCGTGCACCTGTTCCCACTGATATCCAGCAGCACAGCCATTGAAGAGGAGTGGACCAAAATTCCACAGGCCACAATTGACAATCTGATAAACTCTATGTACTCGGATGATCCTGGGAGCTATGCTGTCTGGGGCTTCATGCCCCTGGTAGGGCCTCCCATGGCAGACAGGTCTCAGGTGACGAGTCAGACAAAGAGCAGTCCAGAAGACACCATGGACAGCACGACAATGAAAACAGTGACGTCGCCCGGCATGGCGCAGCCGGGGCCCCACCCTGGAGCCAGGCCTGGGGTCGGGGCCCGTATGCGAGCGCCTGGTGGCCGGGCCTTAGCCCACGGGGCCCGGCCGGGCTCAGCCCGAAGGGATGACGTGGGAAGTCCCTCCTGTGGGCCCACCACCTGCAGAGGGGTCCGTGGTGAAGCGGTGCTGAGAGGACTGGGCGGCAGTTGAAGGCGGAGACCTCGGCGACCCAGTCCGCACACACAACATCTGGCTCTTGGGACGTGGAACGTCACCTCACTGGGGGGGAAGGAGCCCGAGCTCGTGGGGGAGGTTGAGCGATACCGACTAGAGATAGTCGGCCTCACCTCCACACACAGCTTGGGCTCTGGAACCCAACTCCTTGAGAGGGGTTGGACGCTCCACTTTTCTGGAGTTTCCCGCGGGGAGAGGCGGCGAGCTGGGGTGGCCATTCTCATTGCCCCCCATCTCAGCCGCCACGTGTTGGAGTTCTCCCCGGTGAATGAGAGGGTCGCGTCCCTCCGCCTCCGGGTGGGGGACAAGTCTCTCATTGTTGTGACGGCCTACGGGCCTAACAGCAGTGTAGAGTACCCGGCCTTCTTGGAGTCCTTGGGAGGGGTACTGGACGGTGCACCGCCCGGGGACTCCGTTATTCTCCTGGGGGACTTCAACGCCCATGTGGGAAACGCCAGTGACACTTGGAGAGGGGTGATCGGGAAGAACGGCCCCCCTGATCTGAACCCGAGCGGTGTTCAGTTGTTGGACTTCTGTGCCAGTCACGGTTTGTCCATCACGAACACCATGTTCGAGCACAAGGGTGTCCATCAGTGCACGTGGCACCAGGACACCCTAGGCCGGAGGTCGATGATTGACTTTGTTGTCGTATCATCTGACCTTCGACCGCGTGTCTCGGACACTCGGGTAAAGAGAGGGGCGGAGCTGTCAACCGATCATCACCTGGTCGTGAGTTGGATCCGCTGGCAGGGGAAGAAGCCGGTCAGACCTGGCAGACCCAAGCGTATAGTGAGGGTCTGCTGGGAACGTCTCGCTGAGCCCCCTGTCAGACGGACTTTCAACTCACACCTCCGGGAAAGTTTCTCCCAGGTCCCGGCGGAGGAGGGGGACATGGAGTCCGAGTGGACCATGTTCTCTGCCTCAATCGCCGATGCGGCGGCTCGTAGCTGTGGTCGCAAGGTCTCTGGTGCTGGTCCCGGCGGCAACCCCCGAACCCGGTGGTGGACACCGGCAGTAAGGGATGCTGTCAGGCTGAAGAAGGAGTCCTATCAAGCCATGATGGTTCGGGGGACTCCTGAGGCAGCTGTCCAGTACCGGCAGGCCAAGCGTGCCGCGGCCCGGGCTGTTGCAGAGGCAAAAACCCGGGACTGGGAGGAGTTTGGAGAGTCCATGGAGCATGACTGTCGGTCGGCCTCGAAGAGATTCTGGCAAACCATCCGGCGCCTCAGGAGGGGGAAGCAGTTCTTTGCCAACACCATGTACGGTGCGGGTGGAGAGCTGCTGACCTCGACTGGGGACATTGTCGGGCGGTGGAAGGAATACTTTGAGGTTCTCCTCAATCCCCCCGTCACGTCCTCTGTTACAGAGGCAGAGGCTGAGGATGTTGGGGCGGGTACATCCATCTCCCTGGCTGAGGTCACCAAGGTGGTTGGTAGCCTCCATGGTGGCAAGGCTCCGGGTGTGGATGAGATCCGCCCTGATTATCTAAAGTCTCTGGATGTTGTAGGACTGTCTTGGCTGACACGTCTCTGCAACATCGCGTGGCGATCGGGGGCAGTGCCAATGGAGTGGCAGACCGGGGTGGTGGTCCCTCTCTACAAGAAGGGGGACCGGAGGGTGTGTTCCAATTATCGTGGGATCACACTCCTCAGCCTCCCCGGTAAGGTCTACTCCAAGGTACTGGAGAGGAGGTTACGGCCGATGGTCGAATCTCGGATCCAGGAGGAGCAGTGTGGTTTTCGTCCCGGTCGCGGAACACTGGACCAGCTCTATACTCTCCATCGGATACTCGAGGGTTCATGGGAGTTCGCCCAACCTGTCCACATGTGCTTTGTGGATTTGGAGAAGGCGTTCGACTGTGTTCCCCGGGGTGTCCTTTGGGGGGTTCTCCGGGAGTACGGGGTCGGAGGTCCTCTGCTGAGGGCCATCCGATCCCTGTATGACCGGAGCCAGAGCTGTGTTCGCATTGCCGGCAGTAAGTCAGACCTGTTCCCGGTGAATGTTGGCCTCCGACAGGGCTGCCCTTTGTCACCGGTTCTGTTCACTGTATTTATGGACAGAATATCTAGGCGCAGCCTGGGGTCGGAGGGGGTCCGGTTCGGAGACCACAGGATTTCATCTCTGCTGTTTGCGGACGATGTTGTCCTGTTGGCTCCAACGAACCAGGACCTGCAGCATGCACTGGGGCGGTTTGCAGCCGAGTGTGAAGCGGCTGGGATGAGAATCAGCACCTCCAAATCCGAGGCCATGGTGCTCGACCGGAAAAAGGTGCCTTGCCCTCTGCAGGTGGGTGGAGAGGTCCTTCCTCAAGTGGAGGAGTTCAAGTATCTCGGGGTCTTGTTCACGAGTGGGGGAAGAATGGAGCGTGAGATTGACAGGCGGATCGGTGCAGCGTGCGCAGTGATGCGGTCGCTGTATCGGACCGTTGTGGTAAAGAGGGAGCTGAGCCGAAAGGCAAAGCTCTCGATTTACCGGTCAATCTTCGTTCCCTCCCTCACCTATGGTCATGAGCTTTGGGTAATGACCGAAAGAACGAGATCGCGGATACAAGCGGTTGAAATGAGCTTCCTCCGCAGAGTGGCTGGGCGCTCCCTTAGAGATAGGGTGAGGAGCTCAGTCACACGGGAGGAGCTCGGAGTAGAGCCGCTGCTTCTCCACGTCGAGAGGAACCAGTTGAGGTGGCTCGGGCATCTGTTCCGGATGCCTCCTGGACGCCTCCCTGGGGAGGTGTTCCGGGCACGTCCCACCGGGAGGAGGCCCCGCGGAAGACCTAGGACACGCTGGAGGGACTATGTCTCTCAGCTGGCCTGGGAACGCCTTGGGGTCCCCCCGGACGAGCTGGAGGAAGTGTGTGTGGATAGGGAAGTCTGGGCGTCTCTGCTTAGACTGCTGCCCCCGCGACCCGGCAACGGATGAAGCGGAAGAAAATGGATGGATGGATGGATGGATAAACTCTATGCAAAGAAGAGTCCCCAGACCCCCAATAAAGAAAAATAATGCACATGTCAGGCCTTATATTGTGGACAGTCTAAGGCACACCTGTGCACTAATCATGATGTCAGATCAGCATCTTGAGGTGGGATGGATTATCTCAGCAAAGCAGAAGTGTTCACTATCACACATTTAGACAGGTTTGTGAAACATGTTTGAGAGAAATGGTAATATTGTGTATATGGAATTCATTTTATATCTTTAAGTCCATCTCATGAAAAATGGGAGCAAAAACAAAAGTGTTGCGTTTGTGTCACACTCACTCAATCCCCGTTTATCGCTCTCTATGATCCTGGAGTTTATATTGTGATATTGTCTTTGTACATCCAGATATGAGCCAGATCAGGACTGACCAATCAGATGCCTTGATTCACAGAGAACATCCAAATTGCCTTGACAACCATATAAGCATGTGTCTGTCACAGTCTGTATGTGTCTGACTGAAGGAGAGAGACCAGAGAGAGACCAGAGAGAGACCAGAGAGAGAGACCAGAGAGAGACCAGAGAGAGACCAGAGAGAGACCAGAGAGAGAGACCAGAGAGAGAGACCAGAGAGAGACCAGAGAGAGAGACCAGAGAGAGAGACCAGAGAGAGACCAGAGAGAGACCAGAGAGAGAGACCGGAGAGAGAGACCAGAAAAAGAGAGAGACACCTGAGAGAGACCAGAAAAAGAAAACAGATAGAGACCAGAAAGACACCAGAAAGAGACCTAAATAGAGAAAAGCAGCCAAAACGACCATATCGTCTGAGGGTAACAGTTGCATGGATGTGGGTGTTCACTCTGAGGAGGACGAGCAGACGATGAAGAGCACTTTTGAAAGTCCTGATTCAGACTCAGGAGAAGGATCCATGACCTCAGAGTCTTCTGTGAGAGAACTGTTGTATCAGTGAAATAAACCCTCCAAATCTGAACTGTTTGAGTCTGTTTGAATACACACAACATGCCCATAGATGGCTCCTGCTAGCTTATGTTCAAATCAGCTTCTTCTGCATGAAGGCTAACACTGAGGTGATGTCACACTGTGGTGATGTCACACTGTGGTGATGTCACACTGTGGTGATGTCACACTGTGGTGATGTCACACTGAGGTGATGTCACACTGTGGTGATGTCACACTGTGGTGATGTCACACTGTGGTGATGTCACACTGAGGTGATGTCACACTGTGGTGATGTCACATTGCAGTGATGCCATACCCGGTTTTAATCCACCTCTTACAACCATAGTCCTGATGCCCTGGCTCTACACATTCTGTGAGAGAGACAAGAGGGAGACCTGTGAGAGAGAACAGAGAGAGACCAGATGGAGACCTGTGAGAGAGAACAGAGGGAGAGAACAGAGAGAGAACAGAGAGAGACCAGAGGGAGAACAGAGAGAGACCAGAGGGAGAGCTGTGAGAGAGACTAGAGGGAGAGAGACTTTTACTGCATATGTTATTGTTTATCTACAGTGTGTTTTCAAAAGCATCAAACTTCTCACATGACAAAGAGAAAGAAAGAAACTCAAATGTATGGATTATTTAATATTAAAATATGTTCCTCTGCGATCACTAAAAGTCACTAAAGGATGAGGTCACGATGAGATATTTCCGTTGAACAGGAATCAGAGAGGATCGGGACGAGAACCCATTACACTCTGTATAAGTGTGGATCTAACATGGTGGCCCAGTCCAGTCATGGCTCCTTCCGTAGCAGCGTCCTGAGCTGGCGGCGGATGTCATGTGACCTGAGGCCGTAGATCAGCGGGTTGATGGCGCCCGACACCACGTGGTGAACGACGGAGATGTACATTCGCTCCTGACCGAGATGCGGGAAACGATGAAGAACGATGATGAGGAGCGAGGAGCCGAGGAAGAGGCTGTAGGCGCTGAGGTGAGTGGAGACGGTCTGTAGGGCTTTGTGGTTCAGCGACGCATTGCGGCTGGAGAGACACACACACACAGACAGACACACACACACACACACAAGTACAGAGTGAGGTTTGTGGAGACGGTTTATAGGGTTTTGTGGTTCAGGGACGCACCACTGTTGGAGAGACACACACACAGACACATGTAGACACACACAGAGAGAGACACACACACAGACACAGAGACACAAACAGAGACATAGACACACAGAGACACACAGACACAGATAAACACACATAGAGACAGACACACACAGATACAAACACACAGAGACACAGATACACACACACACACAGAGACACACACACACAGACATACACACAGACATACAGACATACACACAGACACACACACACACACACACACACACACAGTGAGGTGAGTGGAGACGGTTTGAAGGGCTTTGTGGTTCAGGGACTCACTGTGGCTGGAAAGATACACAGAGAAAGAGAGACACACAGACACACACAGAGAGAAACACACAAACACACACACTTGTCTTTACTACATTGTGGTGCAACAGAACAAGGACATCACCTCCGACTACAGCAGCTACAGCAAAGCAAAGAATATCTTAAAAAAAAAAAAAGGTCCAGCACCTGACTTTTACTGTACTTTTGGGGACCTACCTGGTTTGTCTCGACTTGTAGGGACAAAACTAACACACTATTTGGTTTTTATCTCCTTTTAAAACCTCTCTCTCTCACACACACACACACACACACACACACACACACACACACATACACACACACATACACACACACACAGAGGCATGCATCAGGTATGAGCAGGATCCCTGCTCAAAAAGGTCCATAAGCACGTGCACTGACATTCTGCAGTCTGGCTCCTTGCTGGTGGGGTTGTACCCCCACCAGGTCCTCACACACACCACACACACACACACACACACACACACACACACTCACCTCCTCACACACACACACACACACACTCACCTCTTCACACACACACACACATACGCGTTTGCGTGACAAATGAGGACCTATGTCTGCACTGTGACATATCAGGACGTGCCTTTCTGAAGGTCCCAGAGACCTGAGGATCACATAGGGGGGAGCAGGGTGTGATCAGTAACACAGCTAGCTGTTGATATTTTGGTTAAAAGAAACTTTTTTCCCGCATGATTTTATTGCCACATATGAGGACCTTGACAGGTCTGAGTGACATATTAGGACCTACAACAAACACATCCGGTCTGAGTGACATATTAGGACCTACAACACACACATCAGGTCTGAGTGACATATAAGGACCTACAACACACACATCTGGTCTGAGTTAGATATTAGGACCTACAACACACACATCAGGTCTGAGTGAGATATTAGGACCTCTAACAAACATCAGGTCTGAGTGAGATATTAGGATCTTCAGCAAACACATCAGGTTTGAGTGAGATATTAGGACCTTCAGCAAACACATCAGGTCTGAGTGAGATATTAGGACCTACAACACACACATCAGGTCTGAGTGAGATATTAGGACCTACAACACACACATCAGGTCTGAGTGAGATATTAGGACCTATAACACACACATCAGGTCTGAGTGAGATATTAGGACCTACAACAGACACATCAGGTCTGAGTGAGATATTAGGACCTACAACACACACATCAGGTCTGAGTGAGATATTAGGACCTACAACACACACATCAGGTCAGAGTGAGATATTAGGACCTATAACACACACATCAGGTCAGAGTGAGATATTAGGACCTATAACACACACATCAGGTCTGAGTGAGATATTAGGACCTACAACACACACATCAGGTCTGAGTGAGATATTAGGACCTATAACACACACATCAGGTCTGAGTGAGATATTAGGACCTATAACACACACATCAGGTCAGAGTGAGATATTAGGACCTATAACACACACATCAGGTCTGAGTGAGATATTAGGACCTACAACACACACATCAGGTCTGAGTGAGATATTAGGACCTATAACACACACATCAGGTCTGAGTGAGATATTAGGACCTACAACACACACATCAGGTCTGAGTGAGATATTAGGACCTACAACACACACATCAGGTCTGAGTGAGATATTAGGACCTACAACACACACATCAGGTCTGAGTGAGATATTAGGACCTACAACACACACATCAGGTCTGAGTGAGATATTAGGACCTATAACACACACATCAGGTCTGAGTGAGATATTAGGACCTACAACACACACATCAGGTCTGAGTGAGATATTAGGACCTACAACACACACATCAGGTCTGAGTGAGATATTAGGACCTACAACACACACATCAGGTCTGAGTGAGATATTAGGACCTACAACACACACATCAGGTCTGAGTGAGATATTAGGACCTACAACACACACATCAGGTCTGAGTGAGATATTAGGACCTACAACACACACATCAGGTCTGAGTGAGATATTAGGACCTACAACACACACATCAGGTCTGAGTGAGATATTAGGACCTACAACACACACATCAGGTCTGAGTGAGATATTAGGACCTACAACACACACATCAGGTCTGAGTGAGATATTAGGACCTACAACACACACATCAGGTCTGAGTGAGATATTAGGACCTACAACACACATATCAGGTCTGAGTGACATATTAGGACCTACAGTATAACAAGCACTTCAGGTCTGAGTGAAATATTTATCAATCGTTACTCCTTTCACGGAGAGTAACTCTGTAGGTGGACAAATACATACATTATTTTGATACATGTTTGTAATTTTTGACATTTATACTTTGACTTTTATATTTGTTTTTTATGTTTTAAATTCTAATTTAAACATGATTTTCCAACTGGAGTTGAGACAATTTTTCAGGGAGATAATCTACTGACACAAGGAGAACATGCAAGCTCCACTCCAAAAGGCCCCTTCTGGCAGAAAGTTTTTTTCTTTCTTTTTTTTTTTTACAAACACACACTCACTACTCAAGTATCTTTTTAAATTACCATGAGTCAATATTTTGGCTATTCTACCCACCTCTGGGAATGTATTTAAGTTTGTGACAAAATAGGTGACATATGAGGACAAGTGTGTGTGTGTTAAAAGTGTGTTAAGGTAGTACCGTGCACAATCAGAGAGGCGCTTCAAACTTTTTGGGACGGAGTGTTTCGGCCCCGACACACATTTTCACTATTTGTAGACATTTTGGGACATGCATGATTTTTGGTGTGGAGCTTGTTCTGGGCCTCTACAACACTGTAGTATGCATGGAAAAATGGGGACCTGAAAAAAGTCCCCACATTTCCTCAGGTCCTGATATTGAAGGTGTGTTATCATACAAAAGTCCTCATATGTCCACAAAACAAACGCACACTCACCTCCTCACACACACACACACACTCACCTCTTCACACACACCACAGTGATCTTGCCGTAGGACAGCAGAACTGTGCCGATGGAGCCCCCTAGCAGCAGCACGGTGAACAGCATGCCAAACACGTTGTTGACGAAGGTGTTCTGACACGACAGCTTGAAAAGCCCCGCGTTACTGCAGCTCAGTCCCACCACCAGGGAGCGGCAGCGAGTCAGTCTCACCGTCGGCCCCAGCAGGACAGCCACAAGCACGAAGGAGGCCGTCCACGCGCCCACCGCCATCCTCAACACCGTGCGACCGCTCATGATGCCGGCGTACCGCAGCGGGCAGCAGATGGCGATGTACCGGTCAATCGCCATCACCATGTAGAGCGTGTGACAACTGCTGGCAAACAGGTTCACGAAGAAGGCCTGAATCACACACGCTGTGAGGGAGAGGAAGAAGAAGAAGCTGTAACAGTAGCGAAGAACAGCTCTCTCTCTCTGGTCTCTCTCTCTGGTCTCTCGCTCTGGTCTCTCGCTCTGGTCTCTCTCTCTGGTCTCTCTCTCTGGTCTCTCGCTCTGGTCTCTCGCTCTGGTCTCTCTCTCTGGTGTCTGTGGCCTCCCTCTGGTCTCTCTCTGTCTCGCATCTCTCTATCGTGTCTCTCTCTGGCCTCTTTTTGTTTTCTCTCTCTCTGGTCCCTCTTTGGCCTCTCTCTGGTCTCTCTCGCTCTGATTGTTCTGGTCTCTCCCTGGTCTTGCAGTGGCAGCCGGCCTCTACTGCATATACTGTAGGCTAATACTATGGTGAAAGACCAGAGAGAGACCAGCGGGAGACCAGAGAGACCAGAGAAAAAACAAAGACCAGAGAGAGAGACCAGTGAGAGACCAGAGAGAGACCAGAGAGAGACCAGAGAGAGAGACGAAAGAGAGACCAGAAAAACACCAGAGAAACACCAGAGAGAGACCAAAAACCAGAGAGAGACTTGAGACCAGAGAGACCAGAGAGAGACCAAAAACCAGAGAGAGACTTTAAAGGGACCAGAGAGAGACCAGAAAAACACCAGAGAGAGACCAGAGAGAGACCAGAGAGAGACTTGAGAGAGACCAGAGAGAGACCAAAGACCAGAGAGAGAGACCAGAGAGACCCAAGAGAGAGACCAGAGTGAGAGACCAGAGGGAGACCAGAGAGAGACCAAAAACCAGAGAGAGACTTGAAAGGGACCAGAGAGAGACCAAAGACCAGAGGGAGAGACCAGAGAGGCACGTACAGTACAGGTGGATGTGTCTGGCGCTCAGGGGGCGGAGTAAGTCCCAGAGGAGGCGGGGGATGACGGTGCTGCTGTAGAGAACGTCACAGAGCGACAGGTTCATGTAGAGCAGGTACATGGGCTGATGCAGCGAGCGCGTCCCGGCGATGAGGACGATCATGGTCCCGTTAGAGAGGACCAGGAAGACGAAGATAAAGAGGAGGACAAGCACGACCGGGAGCGTCTGAGAGGGGGGGAGGGTCAGGCTCTCCAGGACCAGCACCAGGTCCGAGCCGTTAGACTGCATCTGAGCCATGAGGACCAAGACTGAGGAGAGAGAGGGGGACTGTGAGCACCAGGACTGAGGAGAGAGAGGGGGACTGTGAGGACCAGGACTGAGGAGAGAGAGGGGGACTGTGAGGACCAGGACTGAGGAGAGAGAGGGGGACTGTGAGGACCAGGACTGAGGAGAGAGAGGGGGACTGTGAGGACCAGGACCAGGACTGAGGAGAGAGAGGAGGAAGAGCCAATCAGAGACCAGGACTGAGGAGAGAGAGGGGGACTGTGAGGACCAGGACTGAGGAGAGAGAGGGGGACTGTGAGGACCAGGACTGAGGAGAGAGAGGGGGAATGTGAGGACCAGGACTGAGGAGAGAGAGGGGGACTGTGAGGACCAGGACTGAGGAGAGAGAGGGGGACTGTGAGGACCAGGACTGAGGAGAGAGAGGGGGACTGTGAGGACCAGGACTAAGGAGAGAGAGGGGGACACAAACACAGATGACATCATCAACAGTGTTTTTGATGAATGTGAATTTAAACGGCCTCTGTTTTTGTTTTTTTCAAAGGTTTTGAGTGACCTTTCACCTTTGACGCCCAGAAACACATTGTTGAACTAGAGACCAGAGAGAGACCAGAGAGAGACCAGAGAGAGACCAGAGATAGACCAGAGAGAGAGACCAAAGATAGACCAGAGAGAGACCAGAGAGAAATCAGAGATAGACCAGAGAGAGAGACCAGAGAGAGACCAGAGATAGACCAGAGATAGACCAGAGAGATAGACCAGAGAGAGACCAGAGAGAGACCAGAGATAGACCAGAGAGAGACCAGAGAGAGACCAGAGAGAGACCAGAGAGAGACCGGAGGTAGACTAGAGAAAGACTAGGGGGAGACCAGAGAGAGACCTGAGAGAGACCAGAGGTAGACCAGAGAGAGACCAGAGATAGACCAGAGAGAGACCAGGGAGAGACCAGGGAGAGACCAGGGAGAGACCAGAGAGTGACCAGAGAGAGACCAGAGGTAGACTAGAGAAAGACTAGGGGGAGACCAGAGAGAGACCTGAGAGAGACCAGAGGTAGACCAGAGAGAGACCAGAGGGAGACCAGAGAGACCAGATGTAGACCAGAGAGAGACCAGAGAGAGACCAGAGAGAGACCAGAGAGAGACTAGGGAGAGACCAGAGAGAGACCAGATGTAGACCAGAGAGACACCAGAGAGAGACCAGAGAGACACCAGAGAGAGACCAGAGAGAGACCAGAGAGAGACTAGGGAGAGACCAGAGAGAGACCAGAGGTAGACCAGAGAGAGACCAGAGGGAGACCAGAGAGACCAGATGTAGACCAGAGAGACACCAGAGAGAGACCAGAGAGAGACCAGAGAGAGAACAGAGCTCTTAGAATAATCACTGACTCTTCTGGCCTTTGGAAAAGCCATGTTCCAGCTTCTTCCCTCTGGCAGAAGGCATCGTTTGCAGGACATCAGATTAAACAAAGCACTTAATGATCTTGTTATTGAAACGGTTTTTGTTGATTTCACTGAGACACTTGTACTTTCTTTGCTTGCTATTTTGTAATTGGTGCAAAATGAATCAGAACCAGAATTATTTTTATTGAATGCTTTTATAGGAAGTTGCAAACGAGAAATCGCTTTGACTCTCGGTTAAGTTATGAAAAATCGACATAACATTATTTTACTGTAGACTAGTGCCACACAATAGACTGGGGGACTCTTGCACATGTATGCTAATGGGGTTTTACTGCAAATGGAAAACAAACTCAATCTGAATCTGAGTATTGTTATCTGAGTATTGTTATCTGAGTATTGTTATCTGAGTATTGTTATCTGAGTATTGTTATCTGAGTATTGTTAGTGCGATTTACTTGGAAGCAAAGACCTTTTCACACTGTAACAAATGTCTGACGAATTACAATGAAATGTCAACATTAAACAAATGTTATTTAGAAAAACAATTTAAACATGCAAATTTAAGTATAAATTGGTAAAAAAAAAACATCCAGTGGCGTTTTATGACCACAATTATAATGTGATTACAAAAAAACTTTACAATACCATAAAATCACATGTGGTTAATTTAATTTATCAACTTGTTGTATTTTTGGAATTCTGGGAAATTTTTGCTACAAGTAACCATGAGTGTAAAAGGCGTAAACTCCTGCTTTTGTTAAAATGATACTTTTGCGTTAAGCATGTTGTAGAAGTAAAGAATTCAACTATGTTCTTGTATAAACTGAAGATGTTGAAAAATAATTGAAAAGTTGGGTTCATTAAAGTAAAACAAAATTAAACTGTAGTTTTTTGTTCAATTAAACTAATTAGAAACAGAAACAGTGGTGTAATAATACAAAGTTAACTTTATAAAGGTTTTTTTTTCGTTGTTAAAACACATATTAAACAAACATTTTCATTCTCTGGTCTCTCTCTGGTCTCTCTCTGATCTCCCTCTTTGGTCTCTCTCTCTGGTCTCTCTCTGCGGTCTCTCTCTGGTCTCTCTCTGGTCTCTCTCTGGTCTCTATCTGGTCTCTCTCTGGTCTCTCTCTGGTCTCTCTTTGGTCTCTCTTTGGTCTCTCTCTGGTCTCTCTCTGGTCTCTTTGGTCTCTCTCTGCTCTCTCTCTGGTCTCTCTCTGGTCTCTCTCTGGTCTCTCTTTGGTCTCTCTCTGGTCTCTTTGGCCTCTCTCTGCTCTCTCTCTGGTCTCTCTCTGCTCTCTCTCTGGTCTCTCTCTGGTCTCTCTGGTCTCTCTCTGCTCTCTCTCTGGTCTCTCTCTGGTCTCTCTTTGGTCTCTCTCTGGTCTCTCTCTGGTCTCTTTGGCCTCTCTCTGCTCTCTCTCTGGTCTCTCTCTGGTCTCTCTCTGGTCTCTTTCTGGTCTCTCTCTGTGCTGTAACGATTATAAAACACATATTAAACAAACATAATCAAGTCTCCGCACACAACACATCTTCTGTTTCTGAATGAATACAATAAATATAAATAATACATATATTTACAATGATAAGTGATGAATAACAGAGACAGTCTGTGATCTGAGTGGGATCATGTGTTTTACCTGCGGTCCTCAGCTCTGCCCTGCGCTCACTCACATCCCTCCCTTTTATAGTCAGACGCTCCACACCTGCACCAGAACAACACCCCTCAGGAGCTAAGCAGAGCAGGGGCAGGCGACCGCTGTGATGGGAGACCACAGGGGGCGCTCTAAGGTCTGGGCCAATGCTCACGTGTGGCTCAGGGGTCAGAGGGAGAAGGCTGTAAAACCACACACACACACACATGATGGAGCCGTGGAGCTGGGTTTGGGTGAGTGAAGCGCTCATAGTCAGAGTTTGAGCCGTTGTACTGCTCTTTCATTTATAAAGTTGTCCTTGTGAAAAATATGTCGGAAACAGAATCGTTGCTCATTGTCATTGTTTCTCAGAATAGAAGGAGAAATAAGTCTCAGGTTATGCACTCGTCAAAGAAGACCTAGATAGACAAATAATAAAACACAAATAATAAAAGACAAACTCTGGTCTCTCTCTGGTCTCTCTCTGGTCTCTCTCTTTGGTCTCTCTCTTTGGTCTCTCTCTCTGGTCTCTCTCTGGTCCCTCTCTTTGGTCTCTCTCTGGTCTCTCTGGTGTCTCCCTGGTCTCTCTCTGATCTCTCTCTTTGGTCTCTCTCTTTGGTCTCTCTCTCTGGTCTCTCTCTGGTCTCTCTGGTCTCTCTCTGGTCTCTCTCTGGTCTCTCTCTTTGGTCTCTCTTTGGTCTCTCTCTCTGGTCTCTCTCTGGTCCCTCTCTTTGGTGGTCTCTCTTTGGTCTCTCTCTCTGGTCTCTCTCTCTGGTCTCTCTGGTCTCTCTCTGGTCTCACTCTGGTCTCTCTCTTTGGTCTCTCTCTTTGGTCTCTCTCTTTGGTCTCTCTCTTTGGTCTCTCTCTTTGGTCTCTCTCTTTGGTCTCACTCTGGTCTCACTCTGGTCTCACTCTGGTCTCACTCTGGTCTCACTCTGGTCTCACTCTGGTCTCTCTCTTTGGTCTCTCTCTTTGGTCTCTCTCTTTGGTCTCTCTCTCTGGTCTCTCTCTGGTCTCTCTCTGGTCTCTCTCTGGTCTCTCTCTCTGGTCTCTCTTTGGTCTCTCTCTGGTCTCTCTCTAGTCTCTCTTTGGTCTCTCTCTGGTCTCTCTCTGGTCTCTCTCTGGTCTCACTCTGGTCTCACTCTGGTCTCTCTCTTTGGTCTCACTCTGGTCTCTCTCTGGTCTCTCTCTGGTCTCTCTCTGGTCTCTCTCTGGTCTCTCTTTTGTCTCTCTCTGGTCTCACTCTGGTCTCTCTCTTTGGTCTCACTCTGGTCTCTCTCTGGTCTCTCTCTGGTCTCTCTCTGGTCTCTCTTTTGTCTCTCTCTGGTCTCACTCTGGTCTCACTCTGGTCTCTCTCTTTGGTCTCACTCTGGTCTCTCTCTGGTCTCTCTCTGGTCTCTCTCTGGTCTCTCTTTGGTCTCTCTCTGGTCTCACTCTGGTCTCTCTCTTTGGTCTCACTCTGGTCTCTCTCTGGTCTCTCTCTGGTCTCTCTCTGGTCTCTCTTTTGTCTCTCTCTGGTCTCACTCTGGTCTCTCTCTTTGGTCTCTCTCTGGTCTTTCTATAGTGAATAGTGACTCACACTGACAGCAGGCCGTGGTCTGATTTGTAAACAACATTTTTCTATAAGATTATTTCTGTTCATACTCAAGCTTTAAATGTGTGTTATTTATTGAACTAAAGTTACGTTCCTGAGCTTTAATGTCAGGCTATGTGTGACATCACAGACGGGTCGTGTCTCGATGGTCGATAGCGTGGTGAGTTAATATAATTACAGAGCGGACGCTCAGCCCCAGAGACTGGACTCAGGACTCGAGCCAAGACCCAAGAGACAGGAGGCCTCTCTGTGGGAAAGGTTGTCATGTTGTTTGAAGAAAGACCAGACAAAGATACCAGAGAGAGACCAGAGAGAGACCAGAGAGAGACCAGAGAGAGACCAGAGAGAGACCAGAGAGAGACCAGAGAGAGACCAGAGATGGACCAGAGA